CTACAAGAATGTAAAAGCAACGTAGCGCGCGGAGACCCCTATTTAAAGAATTATTACTATTATTATCAAATGCATCAGAGGTTACTTTTCCTCACGCGAGGGGCCGCCAAAAGCTAGCTCGCACAAGTGAGCCTTCTTGCAGGCTAGAGGCAACCAGTTGGCCATTTACAAGCGTGGCCGAGGATCTAAACTGGAGACGACCGAGAGCAAATCCAGCATGTGGGTAGAGTTGGACTCGAACCCGGGACCGCTGAATTGCAAGCCCAAAACGCTGACCACTGGCCACGCTGCCTCCTCCAGAGGCGAGTATGCGAGGCGCCAGGCAGACTGTCTAGCGCGATAGGCGCACTTAGCTAGAGCAATGCTGGCCGACACAGTCCCAAGGTATATCTTGCTTCTTTACAAAGTGTTTTTCTGCAACAGCGAATGTTGCTACAACCTGTAAATGTGTTTTTTATTTCTTACGCAGGGTGTGCTGAAGGTACGAAAGCGAGTGACCTTAATGATTATAACAGTCAGTGCCATATTTGGTATCACTTGGCTCCTTGATATAATGATACACACCGTCGAGGAAACAACCAGCCTTAAGTTCAGTTCCGTCGTATTTCCTATTGTTCACACCATCATCATGTTCAACTGCGCAGTCAATCCATTTGTTTACGCGCTGATCAACCAACGATTCCGAGAAAAGATGAAGAGAATGCTGTACTGCAGTTCACGCTTATTGGAATCAGAGGACTCTCAAACTCTCAATCGCATAGCATCGAGTTAGTCAACAAAAGTAATCACTCAGCCAAGGGCTTAGAAAAAGAAAAGGGAGAAACTGGATAGCTTCTACAGAAACTTTGGTTTATTATAATGAAAATTAATGATGTAACATACAGTGTAAGAAAATCAGGCAAAATAGATTAATAATGAGAATGGTAATTATTTGAAAAATCTTGTCCCAGAAAGCAGTTCTACCTTCTACCTACCTAAAAAAAAACCCTCCCATATTTGAGCCCCAAGTGCATCAACATTAACAAACGATATTATCACTCTAATAAGTTTATCTCAATGCTTATCTTAGCTAACGCTGTTCAAATGAAAATAAAATTTGCGAAAAACAACCACAAATGGTGAGAGAGACTTGCCAGTAAATACGAAGATAACGAAGTTTGCCAATAAATGATTATTACACTGGAAGCCATATTTTGTATACTCGTAAGTCTCTTATGACTTAAATAGGTTGAAAGAAGAATAATAGAAAGCTTTAGAAAAAAGCTCTAGATGAGAATCAAACTGACGACCCTCCGAACTCTAGTTCGAATGCTCTAACCACTGACCTACGGAGGCTCAACTGCAAGTACGGTGAAAATTCAATTATAACTGGCAGAACCCAGTCACAGAGGACTGTATCGGGTACTTGCTCGAAATCGGCCGTTTACTAGCGTACAAGACCAAGACTGTAAAATATAATTTTTAGAATTCTAAGACCAGAGAGCTCAGAAAAAATTTCTAGTTCCAGGTGAAAATCGGCGAACTCACCACCCTCCGAGTTCTAATTCGGATGCTCTAACCACTAAGCTACTGGAGACACTATGGCGAGCAGGGTCGAAATTTAATTATAGCTACACCAGTCGTAGAAAACTGTATCGGGGACTGGCTCGAAATAGGCCGTCCACCAGCGTATAAGACAAAGACTGTACAAGACAATTTGGAAGAATGGTAGTATTGGAACTTAATCCATAAAGGAGACCAAACAGTAGGTAGATCAATCTTTATTTGAATCTTTAGTAGTTACAAAGCCATACGGTAACACTCTGCTGTAACATAACAAGGAGCTTTAGCAACGACGATGGCGACGACAGCAACGAGAACGGGAAAGTCAACAAAGCAACTTCTGAAAAGCTTTGCACGAGCATCACGATTTTTTATTCCATGAATGCGCGAGACTTTCTAATTTCACGTTTTATGGAGGACGAAATCACAACACAAGGATTTTTTTTCAGGATTTGGGTACAGTCCCTTAGAATTCGACACCAGAAAATTTCGCCAACATTTGAAAAACGTGCAAAACAAGGATAAATAAAAGCGATTGAAACTGAAAGTGTACTTACTTTTCAAGTGACGTTTTCACCGCCGATAATTGCTTGATCTCCATAAGAGCCTTATAACAAGACCCTCGGTAAAGAATATCTACCTAATATAACTTTTCCCTGAAAAAATAGCTAGGACTTCAATTTGTCGAGGAAAATGAAGTTACACGTACGCACAAAGAGATTTCAAAGATTTTAAGGGGTTTTCCCTCTTTCTTTTACTGGTACAAAACTGTATAAGTTTTCGCCTGTGAACCTGGTGCCCTAAAGAGTCCGTCTAGGAAGTCGAGCAGACTTTGCAAGAATCGGTAAAAACAAAAAACATGTTAAGTTTGTCACCTTTTGACAATGCGGTGCATTATTTATTTCTGGAGCTATTAGGGGCCATGAAATTTTGATTCCGCGCGTAAGTACATAACGCAATGCAATGGCGCACTTGTGAAAACAACTTTAACTTGTGAAACGATATCTGACAAACTATAAATTTGACTGTTCATATATATTTTGAGTAAAATCCACTGGTTATTACCCAACTATAGCAAAATAAGAACAAGAAACAACAGTTTAGCTTAAGCAATGAAACAAATTAATGTATCTGAGGCAAGATCCGCTCATAATAGATTTAATGACTTGTCTTTATAATGGCATATGAAGGGATGTAGTTATTACTGCCTCTATCTTCCTATTAAGGTGTCCGGTGGTGTGTGAACGTAACCTAAGTAGTTGCTGTCGTGTTTGCTTAAGCTCCACAACAGCCTTGTAAGAAGATCCTATGAAAACGATATTTAGCTGGTATAATTTTCCCCTGAAAAAAAAGGTAAAATCAAACCAAAAATTAAAAAATGTCCATTTTTGTGACAATGCAATAAATTATGTATTTCTTGGAGCTTTTGAAAATTTAGGGGCCATGTTTCCGCGCGTAGTTACACAACGCGATTCAATGGAATAATCAAGAAAACAACTTTAAATGGGGAAAAAAACATCTCGCAAACTTAAAAATTTACTATTCATACATGTCTTGAGCACAATCCACTGGTTATCACGCAACTATAGCCAAAATAAGAATAACAAACACCAGTTACAGATTAAACAATTAACGAAATGAGTATGTCTGATGCAAAGATCCACACATAATGGTTTTTAAAATCCTTGTATGTAAAATGACATATGTAGGGATGTAGTTATCGCAGCCTCTTCCTTCCTTTTTGTAATAATTGTGTAATTTAGCAAATTGTCCCTCATTTTAATGGAAGACAGTGCGCGAAGTTGGTGCCATCCTTGACTATCAGGTAACTTCTCTTAGTTGCTACTTCTCGTCGTTTGATGATTAACCCAGATTACTTAGTAAAAGCAACGCTTAGCGCGCGGAGACCCCTTTTTAAAGAATTATTACCGTTACACTACAATTTCTTTGCAATTGATGTCGACGTTTTTCTTTCATCCAAACGTAGGTACGAACATGTATAATCGGACAACTTAACACATTTGGGTTTGGTCAAACTTTTCAAGCGTGACTCATGCGTAAAACGTTTTACATTCTACAAGAATGTAAAAGCAACGTAGCGCGCGGAGACCCCTATTTAAAGAATTATTACTGTTATACTACAATTTCTTTGCAATTGATGTCGACATTTCTCTTTCATCCAAACGTAGGTACGAACATGTATAATCGGACAACTTAACACATTTGGGTTTGGTCAAACTTTTCAAGCGTGACTCATGCGTAAAACGTTTTATATTCTACAAGAAGTGCAACAACGAGGTCTCATGCTTTTGCTAGAAATGATCGGCTTTGTAAGAAAAGGCAACGATAAGCTGAAAGCGTAAATTCCTACTTGACACGAAAAAATTGCTCTCACCTTCTGTTACAATATCGTGCGGCTTTTGCATATGAAACTTCCATTAGAGCAATGGATGCTTCTGACAACGTCGTAATTATGGGTCTGGACAGCCAACAAATATTGTTGGCTGGCTGTCGTTGTCTGCATTTGAGTAAAAGTCTCAATGTCCATTTATTTTTTACAGCGATACTCACGTTGACGTCACCTCCTAATATTAATGGTTAAATATTATTCAAATCCCATCTGGGACTCGGATTTTTTTTTCGAGTCCTCCTCAAATTAATATCATGTTGTTGTTGTTTCATCTTTAATATACTCACTTTGGAGGTTGGTTGGCCGCATCTTGGATATGCTTTAAGGTGACAGCGCGATGCTGTTAGTGAGTTCTTCACTTCTTGTGTGCCAGTCTTTACTTGGCTGTGTAGCGGCGTGATGCGGTTCCAGTCGAGACCCACAAATTGGCCCTTGCTCACCACAGAGTCTCCAGTAGCTCAAGTGGTTACAGCATCCGACTAGATCACGGAGGGTCGTGGGTTCAAATCCCATCTGGGACTCGGATTTTTTTTTCCGAGTCCTCCTCAAATTAATATCATGTTGTTGTTGTTTCATCTTTAATATACTTAAATATTATTGGTTGTTTAAACAAAGATTCTTTTGATTCACTCGTTCTACATTTGAATAACAAATACACTGTGGGAAGTGAGGAATTAAATGAAGGATGATCATCGCAGTTACATACGCTACTTATGCAGTTGGAAAAGAAACGCTGAAAAAAAATTCAGGCTTCTACGGGACTCGAACCCTTGACCTCTGCGATACCGGTGCAGCGCTGTACCAATTAAGCTAACAAGCTAACTGGGAGCAGGTCGCTGAGATATTTGCTATTTCTAGAGAAATGTTTCTCTTAACACACTAGTAACTCATGCCAGAAGTAAAAATAAACTAATGGCTTTCCTTTATCTAAGAGCCTATGATAACGATTCCTACATCCACATTGACACAACTCTGTTTTATTTAAAGAGTGAAATAGTTGTTTTGCTTTGTTTTTTAGAGAGGACACAAACACTGACCCCTTTCCACTATGTACGAAACAGATGACGTAACAATAACGACAGTAACTTCTATACTCGTTGTTACGAGTATCGTGGGAAATTCTCTTGTTTGTGCTGTCATAATAAGACATCGAGACATGAGGTACCCATAAAGATAACGAGCAGAAAATAACAATTTATTATATAAACACCAATGAAATACCAGGTGAGCTTTCGCGCGAAAACTTGATATTTTCACTACTGAAAATAACATGTTATCTTCACACGTGAAAATAACACCGCTTCTATGGCTACATAATAAATCGCGCCTTTCACACCAAAAAACTATTAAAGTGAAATGGATTGGTATTTCATTGGTGTTTATATAATAAATAGAACACTACATGGCTGCTTGGAGATACGAAATTTCTCTTCTCGTGTTGAAAAAATATTTCACTCGTTCGCTGCGCTCACTCGTGAAATATTTTTCAACACTCGAAGAGAAATTTCGTATCTCCGCGCGGCCATGTAATATCCTCTATATATTCGTCAAGCAAAGTTACATACTGCACAAAGAATAGTAAGAAGCTTAATTATGTTAATTTCAATGACATCCAATCCAAATAGCTCTTACAGTCGAGACCGCCATGACATCATTTTTATTGTCCAATCTTTAGGATTCCCGTAAATTTTCTTCTCGCGAACTTGGCAATCGCAGATATCATGTACGCCTTATTTTACATACCAAAGATCATTTGGGGTCATATCGCCAGTCACCCTGAAGGTCTGGCTGGGAGAATTTTGTGTGCCCTGTTAACAGATGCTGCCTTAGCGTGGGTTGGCGGCGTTTCTTCGGTCTTCACATTGGTGGCCGTCGCCACGGAACGTTACTATTCCGTCTTGCATCCACTTGAAAACAAAGCACATCTTAGCGTGCGCAAACTTAAGGTATGATACCAAAAATAACCAACTTAGATACAAGATAGCAACAAAGATCTCTCAGTGTCCCGTATTATTATTGTTCACTTCTTTAGTTTTGTCTCATTTTATCTATGGTTTACCCGTATATGGAGCGTCTGAACCTGATCTTAATATTATACAGAACTTTTCAGATAGATGTCATAAGCGCCGTTGTATTTCTTACCCCGTTTCAATTAAGGATCTCTTAAAAAAGCAAGACAGTGACATTTTTATGAAAGTAACCTCTACAAATAACTAGCCGCTCGCTCCATACTTTCCTTCAAAGAAAGTCTGTTCTTATAACCTCCGTAAAAAAACAATGTGCCCGTCCCAAAACTAATACTGAGTAATTCATGTCGGCCTTTGTAAACAGATTAATATCTAAAAACAACCTCAGTGGAGGATAGTTGGCATTCAATGATTAGTTTCTTTATTTTATTATGTATTATTCCGGACAATTGTAACATAATATATGTCTCTATATCTTACGTGAAATAAAGACCATTTTTATTAATTATCATTGTTATTATTATATGCTTAATGTTCCTCCATCTGTTTAAGATGGCGAAACTTTTTAACTTTACATTACAATGAGTTTGAAGATGATGTTTTTACGAAATTACTTTTTGATAGATAAAAATTCATTTTTTCCTCATTTAGATCTTCATTTCTGGTTCTTGGATACTCGCATTGATAATGAACGTCCCTGAATTCTGGAAAAAGATCGAGGGCAGTACTTGCAGTTACGCATGGACCAAGAAGTGGATGCCCAAAGCTTACACTTTGATATGGCGTGTTTTCTTTGGGCTTTCTTTTATGCTGATGACTGGATTATACTCCAGGGTTATTTACGCTCTCTGGTTCAAAAATGCCAGTAATTCCGAAGTCGTAAATCGACAAAAGGTATGATGTGATTCGTCTCATGGGCAATGCCGTTCTTTTACTAGACCTCTGTCTTTCAATGAAGTATAGCTGTTGCTTACTATTTCTTATCCTTTCTTGCATTACAACGTACAAATTTACAAGTTTCCGAATAGAGTGTTTTCACATGACGTCACGGCGGCCATGTTGGTGTCCCGAACCAATCCTTTGGGAGTTGAACTCATTTCTTATACAACATTTTCTTTTGTTCCAATAAATTTGCATAGATGCTGGCCACGTGAGTGAAAACAGTCTATAGATAACTACGCACCAACATCATCATAAAAACCGATTTATCGAAGATACCCGCCATAGGTTGAAATGCCTTAAGTTTGGCAGACCTTTTTGCTTCAATTAAAGAACTTGTACAGGTTTTCGTTTATAAATGCCACTGCCATTCTGTCATCATTACCCTGGTAGCAGTAGGGCAGTTTTTCTACAATTTATGATGAAAGAAAAACAAGAAACATAATTACATTATTGAGTTAACATTTACCGGTTTATGCCTTACAGACAACTATCAAGCAACGCTTACTGACTAAATATTTTTTTCCCGTAAACACGCCTTCCTTCCTACCAAAAAGCCGGCTAATAACTTAAAATGATGTTTCTGTTTATGTAGGGTGTGGTGAAAGTGCGGAAGCGAGTCACCTTGATGGTTGTCGCTGTCAGTGCAATCTTTGGAATATGCTGGGGAGCAGACTCAGTGTTGCACCTCTTGAAGGATTTTTCGCTCATCAAGCTCGCTTCCTCTGCAATTCCCATTGCTCACACGGCCGTCATGTTCAATTCTGCCGTCAACCCGTTTGCATATGCTTTGATAAACCAAAACTTTAGAAAGAAAATGAGAGGGATACTATGCTGTAGACTACTTTCACTGGGAGTCACAGGTACTCAAGGCAATGAGATGGCAAACAGAAGTTCCTTTGTAAAGAATTTCCATACCGCGAATAAGCTAGAAACCAGTGAACCTTCAAATATCACGAACCAAACAGGCGAAAGCGTAGAGGGAAACGCCATAGTGTAGGGAACTTATCAGAAATGCGTGGACATATTGCCACTTATGAGCCATTTCCTGTCCCGGAAGAAAATGCTAAATTTGGATCCAAATCCTTCTGATGAAAACGTTTTCTAGAATTATTCTATCAATACTTCTAGAAGATTGAGACGGCGTAAGTATCGGGTTTGAGTGCATGTACCTGTTACGGTAAACGTTTTGCAATATAATTTAATGTAGGAGCATAGCTTATCACCGATGTGACTAGAGATCTGTAGCGAGGACTTGAACTACATTTATTACTTAAATTACCTACATATAAACACGTACGTATGGAAGCTTACTCATTGTCTTGAACTGAGGTCTAAGTTACACTTCGTTGAAATAAGTGGCCCGTATAGCAATAATTTAGTTTGTTTTCATAATTTATGTAGGTTACGCATAATTGAGTCTAGGGGCGGAAAACTTCAATAAAAGCCTTTGCTCCAGTCCTTTCTTCCTTTCTGATCTTTTCTTTCCTTGTCTCTCCTAAAAAGTCTGATGCAAAGTCTAGGCAAACCGGAGCTTATGTCAAAACTAACTATCCTCGGTACACCTCTTCCTATTAGGGACTTTAATCAAAGACGTTTTTGAGCGACGCATGTGAAACGGAAGTGAGGTCTTTTCGCTTTTAATGCACCTCGACTCTACCATATTTCCATTGCTAAGTTACTTTCCTCTAAAAGAAGCAATTTGCCCGAACGTTTGGGCAAACCCACTGCCCAAGAATGTCCATCTCCGGTTGACGTGCCTCGTTTAAAAACCTCTTTGCTTTAGCTCCCTATATTGTTGAAACTCAAAACGAAAGGTATCAAGCGATTCTGTGGAAAGGAAACACAGATGATGAGTGTTTGGTAATTTTCGTCAACGTAGTAGTTGAAATTGAAGAAGTTGGCCAGGCCTTTTCTTCTTTTCCTTCTTTTTCACTCTTTTTTTAAGAGTGTTTATTATTTTTTAGAACTGGATGGCCAAAACAGTCCATTCTTAAAGAGAATTTCAATATCGATCAGTACAACCAACCACATAACTTTATTACTAGACGGTGTGCACTGATGTGACGGGTTTTAGTAAATAATTCGAGAAAAACTAATATTTCACTTTTAAAATGTTCCGTCGAGTCAGCTAGTTCTGACTTTTGCAAAGCACCTTAAGAACCCATTGAAATTTACATAAGAGTTTGACATCAATGAGTTCGAACTACCTTGCACCTGTTGTAGTAATTACTAACAGCTTCCTGTTTCGTCTGAAGTTAATGATATTCCTATCAACTATGACGTAATTTACCATATAAGGGAGATTTAGTTTGTGTCCGTCTTAACACTTTGATGAAAAGAATCACACTCGAACATTATTATTACATTATTTGTGTGGACAGTTCACTTATTGTTTGCAAAGCATACATATGTGAATCAACTGTTAAACCATCAAATAAGCAGGGAAAAGAACAAGATTTTTTCAAATCACGTATTTTTTGTTCTTGGAATATCATCTGGTGAGTCGTTTACCCTCGTTTTTGACAAAGGAAAAAATTGCGTCAAGAACGATGAATGATAATGTCTAACAAGAATTCCCGTTTAAAAAATTTCTGTTTGTAAATAACAAAGTTTCTATATATCAAAAATCAAGAAAGAGAAGTTTTCACCCACATACTCTTTTGTGTGGAGTTTTCAATTCGCCAGGATGGGTGTAAAGGTTTTCTTAGTATGACTTGGTCAAATTAATTACTCACAATGCTAATTAATACTTCCTCAGTTTTCTTTTTTTGTCACATTTGTATAGCTTCAGCTGTTAATTGGCCGAACAAAAGGTCTCCATTTTAAAGGAGAGGAACGTTTTGAGTTGAAAACAAGACGTGATAACGATTAGGGTTTCATCCCACACGTCAGAAGGTGCTAAACGAGACATTAAGAAATCGACGATTGTTTGTTTTCATATTATTCTGGATATCTGAATTATTATCATTTTATTCAAAATAATTCTCTGTTTCTGGATGGCTCATGTCGCGCGGCTAATAGCCCATTTTACGGTTACAGGTGCAAACGAGGCTGGAGTTGGCCTTGGTTTAACACAACCCTCCCTGTTTTATTATGTAAATCATGTTGTTGTTATGCTAACTATTATTTCTTCAGCAACATTTCCATAAGAAAAAGAAAGAGGTTTGTATCAAAACAAGGTCAACCTCAGCCTCACTTTCACTCAAAGGCTAGGATACTACGCCCACAACTGTAAAATGGTCTATTCTTCATAAGCACCTACTTTCGCTGACCAAAATAAGAAGACGTTTGTGATATCAATACCAATGACGTCATTTGCAAGGAATATCGACAGAAAAAAACGTCAACCGGTGAGAACCTCTGAGGAAGTTGCATTAGCTAAGCTGAGAAAATGGCAGAAACCAACCACTAACTATTAAGGGCAACAAAAAACGTGCCACTTGAATAGAGGCGTTGTGTGTTTTTAGCAACCACGAGGTAAACCATATTTAACAGGCTGTTATAGCATGCGAAAAGTTGTCGCAGATAGTAGAGAGTGGTTCTACTTTTAGTTGCGTGTTATACCGGCCCAAGACAAAGTTGTTTTGCCGCCAGTCAGGCAATTCGAGGCTTGCAATATAAGTAGGTCCCGTACCATTTAAGCATTTAAAAAGCAGTATTAACGCCTGGCGTAAGCGCCTACAGTATAAGGATGTCATGCTAGCGGTAGTGAGCAGCTTGTTTTATGACATTGACTTGTTGTGCCCGATTATTGTTCTCAAAATATAACAGTTGCCATCTTCGAGACAGTTGCGTTGACCTGTACCTATACCTACAAATAAAGGGCTGCAGTATTTTAGGTGAGGTAGTATAAACGCTTTATAAAGTTTTATCATTGCATCATGAGGAAAAAAACGCCTTATTCTTCGCGTAGGCTTTCTTTAGAATCGTAATAGATGGAGAAATTCCATTCTAGAATTATTAAGAAATAAAGAATAATGATAGTCACAGGGTCCGACAGATAATGCTTAAGTCTTAGTACTGTTCACTATTAAATGGTTAGATTCAATCCACGACGAAAGAGTCCGTAGATCTTTGTTGAAGGAAAATTCTAGAATCGTGGGAAATACATCTGACAGGTAGGCAGTCGTGTCATCAGCGTACAGCCGCAATGAGACATTAGGAACACAGAAATTCAAGTCATTAATGAAAATGTTGAAGAGCAACGGCCCCAATAGCCTTGAGGAACGCCACATTTCCCTTTTTGAAGTTAGAGCATACGCCTTCTAATCTGACACATTGTTGGCGACCTGGAAGGTAGGTGGACATCAGTTCCAAGGCATGTGGAGAGAAGCCATAGGCCGTCAATTTCGCGAGCAAAAGGTGGTGGTTTATGGCGTCAAACGCTTTGCTCAAGTCCACAGCGACTCTTTCTCAAACACCTTCGATAGCGAAGTTAATATTGAGACAGGGCGGTAGTTTGCTTTGTCTGTGTCAATCCCCCGTTTAAAGACAGGAGAAAAGCGCGTTTGCTTCCATTCAGAAGGAAATGCGCGATTCAGAATACAGAAGTTAATAAACTTAGTTAGCTCTTCGGCAAGAACTGGGGATCCCAAACGCAAGATTCGTGGTGAAATGGCGTCTACCCCAACTGCCTTTCACGGATTAAGGTGGTCCAAAATGTTACGGATATATGAAGTACTGACTGGAGAGTAGTTAAACTCGCTTGAGAAACGTCGATTGCTTTTTGCCTTAATGCCAGGGTGGCCAGTGTAGTCATTGTCAAATCCATGCTCTAACTGAATAGTATTCGCAAAGTAATAACTAAAGACTTCGGCCACACACCCAGGGTCGGAAACAACACTACTGCCCTCAACGAGAATGACGCCTTGTATGTTTTTACCAGAACTAGTTGGCAAAAGGGGCTTCATTTTTCTCCAAAACTCACCCGGATGTTTAGCACTCAAGGAAGCGTCACAGCAGAACGTTTTCAAAGCGTTAAACTTTAGCGACGTAACCTGGTTACGTTGCCGCTTGTAATCAACCCAAGAAGTAGATGTAGGATGTCGCTTGAATAATTTGTTTCGGTGCGAAATTTCACGCAGCAAATCAGGTGATATCCATGCCAACTGGTCGCGCCCCGAATCCACTTTTTCTTCAGGGGCACGTGCTGGTCAAGAACATCTTTGAAAAGTGTTCGCCAATGAGCCCATACATCATCGGCATTGTCGAATGAGTAGGCCTACGACTATGGGACCCTTTTTAAGTCAGCCAAAAAGTCTGGCAAGTTAAAATTCTTCATACTCCTAAACTCGATCAAGCGCGGGCTTTGGCCTTGGAATCTTATTTGGTCGCATTGTAAAGATTAAGTCGTGATCGCCCAGTCCAAGGTGTAAAGAACCACTTGTAGCATAAAATTCCCTCGTGACTAGTTAACAAAACATCGATGAGACTTTTAGATGTTTTAGTTACTCTTGTCGGTTCATTGATTCGGTTTGAGAGACAGAATCGATTACAATATAGTCAACCAGCTTTATGCCAGGAAAACGGCCTTCATCTCTATTCTCATACATGTCCATATTGAAGTCTCCAAGTAAAAGCAGCTCTTTTCTGGTGTTATACATATTTTCGGCAGCTGTTGATAGGGAGGCGAGAAAATCAGATTCCTTGCATTCAGTTTAGATGGACTTCTATAACAAGCACACACTATAAAGCGACTGTTATTAGAGTCTTTGACATCCAAACAAATGGATTCAATATAGCTACTTTCTAGTTTTAAGCGTCGATACACCGAGAGGTCATTCCTGATAAAGGCAAGCAAACTTCAAGCCCCTTCTTACGATCCTTGCGAATAGTGCGAAATCCTGAGTGTGAAACCAAGTGCGATGAAACGGTACTGTCGATCTTTGTTTCGGCTAGAAACAAAATATCAAACATATTTCTATTTAGTAACTCTTTGACCGCGTCGATTTTGTTAACTACGCTGTTAATGTTTAAGTTACCGATGAAAACCAAAAA